GAGTTACATGGCAGATGATTGGTGACATTATATTGAATATGTATATGAATATTCCAGGAAAGGCCCTCTCTTCCAATCACTGGTGAGGTGGAAAGGAAATACACCACAGAGCCCTCAGATACTCCCTGTTTAGCAGCACCTCCTACACAGGCTGGTACTGCACTATTTCTTCATTTGGCACAGGCACCTTGTCATTTGGAGCTACATTTCCAAAGGAGCAAGATGCCAGAGAGTGACCAAACAGCCCCACAGGCTCCTGTGCTGGAGCTAGGAGGCTGCAGTACAATACAGATACAATAGCAAAGCACCAGAGATTGATGAGCCTCACCTTTTCCCCATTTTTGCATTATTCTTGACTGCATTCTTCCAGTCTCCTGGATAGCTGTGCCATCTGTGAGCTGCAGCTGAAAGGAGCCCGGCCCAGGCACTTGAGACAAGTGATTCTTTGTAGCTCATTGCTACAGTGATGGTACAGCTGGAACCAATTTCATTAACTAGCAATCAGAGGGGGAAAATACAAGCAATGAGCCATTTTCTGTGCAGAAAACAAAGATATCAGATGCTAGCTCTTGAATGTGAGTAGCCATACAAGAAGGGAGAGAAAGAAAATACCCAGAGGAATGTGCACAAAGACTTGAACCAGAAAGTTTCATGCAAATGTACCTCCAGAGGCTGTTTCTCCTTGGCATGAGACATTTCCAGGGATACAGGCCTGACTCCCATGGATCAGAGGAGTGCTGAGGAAGGGAAACCTCAGGGGATCACACACAGGGAGAGCAGAGCTCCATGGCAGCAGACATGGAGAGCCAGGGGAGAGGGAGCTATGCCACTGACCATCCAGCTCTTAGAGGAATTAATTTCCTCAGTTCCCTCCCCGTCTGCATGCTCAAAAGCACCTGTGGATAGGTTTTGGACCTGAGCTGGTGGCTTTTTCCAACTTAATTCCCTTCTAAAATATTATTGATGGCCTCCTATCTCCAGCTCAGCTTAACAGACAACCAGAGGAGCTGGGATTTTGAAAGCTTTCTTGAGGACAAAGCCTGCACTCGAGCAGTTTCACTGCTGTTGAGTTAGTCTGCATTAATGTCATTCAAATTTTGCCCAGGGTCTTTAATAAGAATTCAAATATAACTGCTGGGGGTTTAAAATATGTGTTTTGAAAATTGGAGCCATCCAAACTATGCAGGACAGCACATCTCCAGTGTTTATTTTTATTCCTGATCTAGACTCTGCATCAGCTGTCTTCATGGTTTGGTAGTGTGAAGTACTGGAAGCCTACCAATGCAGATATATATATATATATATATAAAACTTCCCTTTTGGTTTGCAGCAGTAGAAGGACAGATTCTTTTTCACTTTGAGTCACTAAAAAGTCACTGTGCAGGCTAATTTAAGACAAATGTGAACACATGATATCTGAACAACGGATGTGAGGCTGTGTTTGAAGGAAGTATGCTGAAAAGCCCTGCATCCTTAGGGGTCTTGGGTAGGAGACAGTGCTGGCAACCACTTGCAGAAAGGATTCTGTTACTGCTGTGGTATTTTGGGCTCCAGGGTGCAACATTTAGAATGTGCTCTGCTCAGACAGTCATGGAAGGAGCCCTTCCACCATGGCAACTCACATCTGACTTTGCATTGTTGGTAATGATCACACAGCAGAGAGAAAAAGAAGAAAAAGGGGGATGGCCTTGCATACGCAGACCATGACGGGCTATGACTGCATTCTCCAAGGCTGTAACCAGGAGTTATAAATTGCTATATTGCCTATTTTCACCTCTCATCTAATTGAAGAAACTGTGTATACAGCTTTGCAGATGGCCCATTTATTTTGCTGAACTACCAAGGCCTCAAGGATTCTGTTTAGAACTAACTGGGTACAAGCACAACAAAGGCCAGGGGAAATTGGCTCTTGAAAACATCAATTGTCAGGTATGGATGAACATATTTTTTGCAAGGTCACAGCACCTCCCTTCTGAATTAATGAACCTTTTGCCACAAAGGCAGAAAAAACATAAGGCACACTTCCTCACAAACTGTCAGGAATGTTGCAGAAGTTTACAGAATTTCCCAGAGCACAGTCCTCAGGCTGCTGTTTGGATATCAGGAGGAAGGAATGGCTATGTGCAGGTGCAGCCCCTGGAGGACTTTTCAGACACACTTCACCTGAAGGTATCCTGTGCCCTTTGCAAGAGGCTCAGCCTCCCAGGAGAATTCCAGTGTGCAGCTCTGTCTGAGCCTATGCCTACCCACCCTGTGTGCTCTGGGAAGCAAAGCAAAGCCATCCTGCCCCAGCCTGCCCTCCACATCCCCAGACATACCTGCTCTGATGCAGCAAGGGGCAGGTTGGGCCAGTGCCAGATCTCTGCAAGGAGGGCCAGAATAGGCTGGGAGACCTGAATGGGCTGTGCCAAGAGAGAGCAGAGTCACCATCCCCAGAGCACAGCAACAGATTGGAAAGGGGAGTATTGTTTCCTTCATTTCACACAGAGTGGGCTGAGATACAGAAACATGTTGGATGTTGTCTTTGATTACAGACTGGGGGTTATACACAGAAATAACTGCTGATTTCAAAATTCTAGGAAGTGTTGATTACATTGTGCCAAAGGAATAAAGAATCCTTAGTGACACCAGAAGTGTATTATAATTTTTTTACCCCTTGATTTCTGTTCTTTTACTTGGAAGGTTTCTGTTCTCTCACTTGAGATGACCGAGGACACATTATGGACCAGGGGCTGTGAAGGATGAGCAGCCTAATGACCCACAAAACCCAATCCTGACTTGAATATTCTTTATCCAAATTTCTCTCATAATCACAAACAGACCAGAAAAAACAAATAGAATCAATTCACTAACCAAAGAAGGGCTAAAGCAATAATAAATTCAATTACAGTATGACTTACCTTGTACAGTATAGGTGTAGTAAATAGGTAAGTTATTTGCAGGGACCCCTGTGGCAGGGAGGAATGATGAATCTGACTCCATGTTCTCAGAAGGCTCATTTATTTTTTTGTGATACTATGTTATATTAAAGCATACTAAACTAAACTATACTAAAGAATACAGAAAGGATACTTACTAAATGCTAAAAAGATAATAATGAAAACTCATTACTCTCTCCAGAGTCCCGACACAGTTTGGCATTCATTGGCCAAAGAGCAAAAACAACTCACAGCAGAATCCAATGAAATAAACAATCTCCAAACACATTCCACATGTGAGCACAACACAGGAGAAGCAAATGAGGTAATATTTTTTTTTTCCTTTTTCTCTGAGGTTTCTCAGCTTCCCAGGAGAAAAATACTGGGCAAAGGGATTTTTTCAGAGAATATGAATGCCACATATAGGTACTAATGTGAGTTTTGGATAACTTACCTGAATTGCATCTCCAAATATTTTTGATAATTGCTAATCTTTGCTACTAAAATCACTGTGTTGCTTATTTAGATGTCATACAATGAGAAAAAGAAAAGATGCTAAAGCACTAGAAGAGAGGATACTAAAGTTCTTACTGTAATTGCAAATCTCACCAGTGACTCAAGTTTTATAAACCTTAAAATGAGTTTCATTTCTGTATAGTATAAATTAATTTAGACATGGCAGGCAGTAAGCATACCTATACAATTGTTAGATGACATGGTGTTTATTCCCCCCAGGTTCTGCTGGCTGGCTGGGCTGTGGGGCTCAGTCTGTGGGTCCAGGACCACCTCTTGCCCTGCAGCAGACAGGGGTGCTCCTAAGAATCAGAGCAGGGAGAGAAAACCAGGAGATAGGAGCTAGGCCATCTGTTGTGCTGGGCAATGCTAGCTCCAACAGGTGCGTGTTTGAACAAATATTTGATATTGTCCAGGAAATACACAGGGTTTGTGTACATGTTTCTGTGCTAAACTAGTGCTCTGCACACAGCTCTGGGAATACAGCAGGGCACAGACTTTTGTCAGTTCTCTTCCCCTGGGCCTGGCTCTGACCAGGCTTTGGCTCATGAGGCAGCATTTGAGAAGAGACACAGGTCTCTTAGTGAGGTCACTGGTGGTGTGGGACAGAAAGGCTGGGGGGAATTTAGAGGAGGCTGTGGGAGGGCAGAGACAGCACAGGGCTGATGGGAAGGCTGTGATTGCCAAAATTTCAGTGGTTCTGTAGCCTGGTGGAGGGCTTTGGCCCACATTTTGATGTGTCTGCTGAACACAGCAGTGGAGGGCTGAGGATCAGAGACAGAACCATGAGCACAGTGCCTTAGAATTACCACACCAAGAGCAAACCCCTCCCTGCCAGACAGGCACAGAGCCCTGGCTGAATGCACAGACCCCTGCAGCATCCCACAACCCTGCAGCAGACAGCAGCAATGAGGTGGTGGCACAGGGCTTCAGCATTCACTGCCTCTGCCAGTTTGGCTGATGGAGGACAGAAACTCATCTTTATCAAGGGGAGAGGGGTTTTCCCCAAATAGTTCCTCATTCTGCTCCTTCGGGACTCTCAAACCACTCAAATCTCTCACTCTACAAATAATTATTTAAAAAATAAACCTAGGAAATGAGATAACTCTGCCAAGCACCAAACCCCATGAATTCATTGCACCTAACACCAATCACTGTTCCTGTTAACATCCCTGCTGCTGTCCTTCCCTCTGAGACAGGCTGGGTGGCTGCAGACACAGCCTGGATGATGGCAGCCACATGCAGGGAGCTTCACCTCCCGCTTCTTGTCAGGCCTCTGGCAGCAACTCCCGGCCCAGAAGCAGTCGAATGGAAAGTGCTGCTTCTCCCCACAAACCTCCTGTCCTGGGGTAGGGGTGGCTATCGACTCCACCATTCCTGCTCCTGCTCTGCTAAGGGCAGTTTTAAGAAACCCTTGGCAAGAAATCTCCTCCGCTCTTATCACCCTCCCGGCTCCCTGCCCTCCGGAGCTTGGCATCCGCTGATCCCGGCCGTGCCCGCAGCGTCCGGCCGGGGCTCAGCAGCGGCCAGCGGGCCGGGGACCTGCCGCGAGCTGCCGTCGTGCGGGCGATGCCGCGGCCCCGGGATGCTCCTCGGCATCGCTCGGAATTCCCGACACAGCCGCAGCTGCGGGGAGCGCGTCTCTCCTGCGGAGAGCAGCCGGGCCCGCGGGGGGACCGGCACCGGAACCGGGACCGCAGCGCTCGGGGCCGCTCCGAGCGCCGGCCGCGCGTCCCTGACCGCGGCCACGGAGCGCTACCCAGCGCTACCGAGCGCTACCGGGTGTCACCGCCGCGGGCGAGCGCGGCGGGGCCGGGCCTGGCCGGGCCGCCGCCCCCCGGGCCGGCAGCGGGAGGCGCGGCGGGACCGGCGGCAGCGGCAGGATGGTGAGCGGGGCGGCGGGGCGGGCCGGGGCACACAGACACACAGACAGATCCTGGCAGGGACCGACAGATAGACAGGTAGCCCTTGCTGGAGACAGATATGCAGACAGGTAGCTCCTGTCGTGCGCAAACAGCTGCGGCCGGGGACACACAGGCAGCCCCTGCTGGGGACGGACGGACAGACAGACGGGCAGCCCCTGCCGGGGACGGACGGACAGACAGACAGACAGACAGACAGGCAGCCCCTGCCGGGGACGCACTAACAGACAGACGGGCAGCCCCTGCTGGGGACGGACGGACAGACAGACGGGCAGCCCCTGCCGCTGGCCCCCAGCCCGAGAGCCGGGGCTGAGCGCCGTGCCGGGCAGGCTGCGGGGCACTCGGGCGCACCGAGCGGGGCTGTTGCGCTCTGTTTCCCGGGCCGCTCTCCCGGCGCTGCCCCGGTCCCAGCGGGGCTGGCGGTGCGGACGCGGCAGCGCCGCTCGGCCGGGTCCCCGCGGCTGCCGCAGCCGGGCCGGGATGCTGTGCCCGGGCCGCAGCCGGGCCGGGATGCTGTGTCCGTGCCGGGATGCTGTGTCCATGTCGGGATGCTGTGCCCGTGCCGGGATGCTGTGCCCGGGCCGGGATGCTGTGCCCGGGCCGGGATGCTGTGTCCATGTCGGGATGCTGTGTCCCTGCCGGGATGCTGTGTCCCTGCCGGGATGCTGTGTCCATACAGGGATGCTGTGTCCCTGCCGGGATGCTGTGTCCATGCCGGGATGCTGTGTCCGGGCTGGGATGCTGTGTCCGTGCCCGGATGCTCTGTCCATGCCCGGATGCTGTGTCCATGCCGGGATGCTGTGCCCGGGCCGGGATGCTGTGTCCGTGCCGGGATGCTGTGTCCATGTCGGGATGCTGTGTCCATGCCGGGATGCTGTGCCCGGGCCGGGATGCTGTGTCCGTGCCGGGATGCTGTGTCCATGTCGGGATGCTGTGTCCGTGCCGGGATGCTGTGCCCGGGCCGGGATGCTGTGCCCGGGCCGGGATGCTGTGCCCGGGCCGGGATGCTGTGTCCGTGCCCGGATGCTCTGTCCATGCCGGGATGCTGTGCCCGGGCCGGGATGCTGTGTCCATGCCGGGATGCTGTGCCCGGGCCGCAGCTCCCAGCTCCGGCCACAGCCGCACAGGGCACCCCCGGCCGGCCCGGCCTCGGCCCTTGCCTGTGAAACACCGCTGAGTGCGTGCTCTCCCGGGCTGAGTGCTTGTGAAACGCTGAGAGAAACGCTGCGCTGTTAACTGAGAGATATAATGGCTGTCCAACATTACTTTCTCTTTAGGCCGTCATGCATTATTACTTCTCTTGCAATATAAAATTAGCAGAGGAATCTGAAATACAAAAAGGTGGAGTGTTGGGGCAGCATTTGAAAAACCAGTACATCCATGTTCATATATTTGCTTTTGCAGTATGGATTTATAAACACGTGCCTGAAGTCTTTGGTGGTTGAAAAGTATGGTGAAGAAACATGGGAAAAATTAAGGTAATGTGTTCCCAATAAATGTAGTGCATTGAAAGAAGGTGCTCAGGAATTCAGCAGCAGGGGATATAATTTCTTATTGGTAAATGGTAGCTGATGTATCTCAAGTAGTAATTAGGATTAACTAAAAGGGCAAAAGCAAGAGTTTCTTGCCTTGTAACACTTCATCCTCTGATACTAATTTGTCCCAATTAATTTGTCATATCAGATAATTAAAGATGACATTTAGTCTTATAGACAATTTTGCAATAGACTTGCTGACTCACATGACAATATTGAGAAGTAATTACACTAAAAAGATGTCATCCTTAATATAAAGTCAGTTTAATTCCAGTACTCAGAAAAGCAGCTAAATCATAGAATCACAGATCATCTGGTTCCAATCCCCTTGCCATGAGCAGGGAACCTGCCACTAGACCAGATTCCTCAAAGTCCCATTCAATCTGGCCTTGTTATCATCTCTGGTTTTGTCTTTTTTTGTCTTTTATGAGCTATATGGATTTCCAAAATACATAAATGATACTTCGATGCCATATAATCCATCCATGATATATTATCATCCATTGAAGCCAATATAAAAAAAATCAGCAGGTTTGGGGAGCCCCAAGAGCTATTGTGGCTATTGTGTCCACATGAAACAACAAACCAGTAGACCAGAAGACAAACTAAGACTCCACTTGCTCTAGCACCCCACAGTATGATGTCCTAATCCTTGAAAGAGTTTACTGTAATACCATGATGTGAAATAGCAGAAATGGTGAGGTGGACACCACCATTCAGCCATGTTAAAGCAATTTAATTAATTTAAACTTACATCATTAGGTGAAGTAGTATGTTCCAATACAATGCTTGAGGGAGGTTGAGGAGTGCATTCACAGCAAACAGTCCTTAAGACATGCCAGTTGGGTCACCCAAGCATGTTGTATTCACAGCACTGCTGAGACAAGGATATTGTCTTCTCTGTTGTAGGCTGCAGGCTGGAGTCCAGGATTCTTTCTTGACTTTTGAGGTTTACAAAGATGAGATCACAATGCAGCTTGTGGACAAAGCCTGCAAAGTATTAGGTATGTGTTAGCATGCCTCAAAATTGGATCAGCCTGGGTCAGGCCTGAGACTGCAGCCCAGCTTTTGTCTCCTGTGCCCTTGGGAATGCCTTCCCTCTGTTGCAAATTTTCTGCCTTCAGTCTTAATCCACCTGACAGCATTGCAAGAACTTCCAAACCCTTCTTATTCGTTAAGGTATCTTTATTTTGCCAGGTGTCCCTGCTGACATTGTTCTGAGGGAGTTTGGAAAGTATTTCTTTGAATTCTGTAAGCGCTCAGGCTACGACCATATGCTGAGGACACTGGGTGGAAACCTCTATGAGTTCATAGAGAACCTGGATGCACTGCACAGCTACCTGTCCCTTTCTTACCAGGCAAGTCTGATAGTAACTGCTGAGCAGGTATGGATGGATGGACTCTGCCAGAGTGCATAACACAAGGAACAGCATCTCATAGCTGTGAATAAATAATCACCAAAGCATGTTCTCTTCTGCTATGTTCTGAAACAGATTACTCCAAATGTCAGGATAATTTCTAAAAATTATTGGTTTTGAATAGTCCTCAACATAGGTATTATTTACTACATTTTCTCTAATGCATAGCAGATTCTTCTTCACAGGTGAGAATATTTAATTTTCTGGGTTTTAGCTTATTTATATTACAGTTTATGTTATAAAGGCATAAGATGCTTTTGTACTAGTAGAATTCATCAGTCTACTTTCTGAAAAAGTAGACTTTTCCAGAAAAAAAGATGCTGAGGTTTGGTTTTGTTTTTTTCCTCAGGAGATGAATGCACCATCTTTTAGAGTAGAAAAGAATGAAGATGGGTCAATGCATTTACATTACTATTCAGACAGAAGAGGTCTGTGCCATATTGTGCCAGGTAATGAGACTTAATGCAGAGTACAGATCAGTGCAATACACATACAGGGTAATCATATATTTGCAGGTGCACTCGGAGTTCAGTATCTTTTTTCAGCTGAGGCCTGGCCATGGAGTTGAAGCCTGGTAGAGTTCAGTGTCCAGACTCTGAACTCAGTATTTCCCTAATGCCTGATCCCTCCTAGCTCCCAGTAAATTTCATCAAAAGTTGATGAAATTTTGGGTATGACAACCCAGGCCATAAAAGTCCATTCTTGCTATAGAATTTCCTCCCTGGAAGAAGAATTCAAGCTCATGGTGTGTATCGTGTCTAACTGTTTACTAATTCTCTGTGGCTCATGCTTTTTAAATTCCCGTGAAGTAGAAATTCCAGTTGAGTTGAAGACATTCGTCCACCCTGTAGTACATCCAATCTGTGAAACTCCTACTGAACCCTGCTCCAAACTGAATCTTTCACCAGCATTTACCAGCATCTCCAGAGCTGTGCTTGTGCAAGCATTAGAGAGCTCTAGGTCTGTAAGAGATGATCATATTCCTTTCTTTCATAAATGATGGTGAATTTAGAAGTTCATCAAAACTTCCCTTGTTGTCAAAACTTATTTGATATTGAAAGCACAGAATTATTTGTAATTTCAGACAGAGCTTTTGATGTGATTTTGATGTCCAGTATTTTGCCTAATACCTGACCAGAAATGAGAGAACTCATTGTGCATCTGCATGAAAGATATTTCCTTCCTTTCAAAGTACAGTGCTCTTCAATGACTGAAATAGATTGTATAGCACAATCTCTTTAGACTCCCTGCATTCTTTGGGTTGATGGGAATTCATATTTTTGCTCTATGGCTACTTGAACACATTCTTCAGATATCCTGCTGAGCTGCTCCTGGTGAAAACCAGCATTTATCCTCAGCCAAGGCAAAAGCAGCAGCAACTTTGAAGCTGACCTCCTAGGAGCATACTCTCATCATGGCAGCTGCAGCAAGGACGACACATGTTGCTTTCTTCTTCCAGAGTTCTTTGGGAAAGTGATTTCTGAAACAGTGAAATTCCACTGGGGGCCCTCTAAAAGGGGAATTGAAAAGGTTTTGTTCTTGGCAATACCTTGTCTTTTGTTTCCCCTTCAGGAATCATCGGTGCAGCAGCCCTGGATTTTTTTAACATTGAGATTTCAATGAAAATAGTCAATCAAACAGAAGAAGAAGAAAGAACTGGGAAAAAGGAACATATTGTTTTTCTTGTCACTCAAAACCCTCTATTTCCGTGCAAGGAGAGAAATGAATTTTCTTCCTCATCTCAATGTCTTGCTGACTCTGAAAAACAAATTGAGAACCAACTGAATAAAGAGGTATTTTTAATATTCATTATCACCATGTTACTGAAATATATTTAAAATAAAAACACCCTTGAATTTCCCTTTGGATTTATTTCAACAGGACCTTGAAAAAGCCAAGAATGCAAATGGAGACAGAGGAAACTCTGTTTGTCCTGTTAAAAAAAGTCACTGGAAAACATTAAGAGGAATAATCACATTAGGAAAAGGTGAGAGATCATTCAGAGGGAGCTCATCATGATTTGAGTCTCTTCAGCTAGAAAGTCCCCATCCCCACCCACCCATCCATTTTGAAGTTACCATTTATATTTCCTCTGCAACTTTTCAAAATGTTTCTGGTTAAGTTTCTTTCAGTTTGACATTGATGATCAAAGAAAAATTGCAGATAATAAGCATGCTTAGTAATGACAGATACTTAAGTGGAATATGACCTGTCACTTTTGTCTCTTAAACAGGGCTTTCATCTGAAAAGTGTTCTTTTGTAAAATGCTATTGTGTGGTGAATTTGATTCTTCATTCTTATGTCACTCGGTTTAGGATGCTGAATTTAAATGTGTGTTTTTTAGCTTGGTAGATACTACTCCTTTCCAAAATTATCAACTGTAGTAAATTTTGAAAGCCAAATTACATCCTCCACTACCAAAAGTCTACTGCTAATCTCTAAATCTCTGTTCTTGCCTCTATGTATTAGATGTTTATATATGTTTATAAAATGGAAAAAATTTTTCAGTTAGGATCTTTTGATTCCCCAAAAGGAATGAGAATCTAGCTCAGCATTGCCAAGATGCCTGCATTCTGGGATGAGTGAAAAATTGAACCTGGTATCACCTGGTGCAGTGTCACATGCATTACAAGGGCAGATATACTAAGTAAGAAATGAATATATATTCAAAATAAAATTTTAGACTAGCATTATTAATAAAAAAATATAATTCTTTAGGAATAAGTGGGAGTTATCAAGAGCCAGACTTTGATAAATTAAAATCCCACACTGACTTCCCCTGAAGCAGTAAGAGGTCTAAAAGCTAGGTTCTAAGTTTGCAATAATTTGCATCAATTTCCTGAGTGACTTGAACATTTGTTCTCAGCAGAACTTACTGGAGTAACTGTCATAGCCACCTTCAGGGGGAAAGAGATCACTGGATGCAATCATCTTTTGATTCTGCTGGGTTACTGGGAATCCAAGTATATGCCATGAAGATCAAGGGTTTTGGGTGCTTCACTCAAAAGATGAGCTCTTTTGATACTTTACCCACTGTATTCCTTTTACAAAAATATCTGCTAGTAAGCACAAACTACTCTGTAGATTTGTGACCATTTTGTAAAAAATTTCAGGGTAAGTAAACTAGAAACCAAACAGTAATTCTTTCTCTGTGCTATGGACATTGTGCATATGGTTTATTGTACAGGAGATTAAAACTCAGATCACACTGGGTATTTTTCCCTTAGTGTTCCTTAGTAGCTGGCAAAGTGTATTAAATCCACTTCTGTGCACGTTTTTATGGGATGTGCCTGTGTTATATTGCTATGGCATCTGCAGATTCATAGAGAAATAACATCTAGTTGTTCATCTGTTTTTATTTTTTCAATATAATTTCATGCATCTAGTGAAATCTAGTGCTCTATGTTTTTTGTGTGCTTAAGTTTTAAACACTCAGCCGACTCAGATTAGTTGCTGATCAGCTGTGGATTACACTGCAGAGCATTTAGCCCAGATGGGGGCACGTTTCTGGGCCCACACACTCTTTACTTCACTCACTGTGATACAGGGTCCTGTCTCACTGAGGGATAAAAAGTCATGCTGATTGGTTTTATGAAGTGCAGCCTGATTTTAAAACAACACATCTATCTCACCACAGGTAAGCTCCTGAGAGGATTTGATCCTGTTTATCCCAAGAGCCTCTGGATTGACACAAAAACATTTTGCAATGGACTTCCTTTTCATATGGTTTTTGACAAAGAGGTAGGATGTGGGCATGTGGGCAGGGCTCTTAGTTTGCATAAACCTCAGAGTAATTTCCCTTTGTTTAGACTGTCCTACAGTTCCCTGCTGCATGTGCTCTGTGTGCAGTGTACACTCACTCACAGGATTTGCAGAAATACTCTGTACAGAGACATGCTCTCTATCACTGCAGATAGGAATCTCCTTTGAATGCATTGAATCCATGTCTGAAACATCTGCAGATATGCTAGCAAGGTTTATTGCAGCAGTCTATCTGTTACCAAATAGTGAGCAGAATTTTTTGAGGTTTCTGGTCACCTTCCTGTCCCTGCATACACCAGAGCCAGGTCCCATCCTTTAAAATGCCTTTGCATTTACAGTTTCCCTCTCTCCTCCCAGTCACTGATCTGTCCCACGGCTGGGAGGGCTTTGCTGGCAGCTGAGGCTCCATGTGCTTGCTGAGTCTGCTCCTACCTGCTTCTGCTGGGAAAGCCCAGCCACCTCCTGCACCAGGCAGCCCCTGTGGGACCCCACAATCTCTGTACCTTCTGGGGCAGCACTGAGTCTCCTCTGCTGTGCTCACACCCTCTGCAGCCCCTTGGCAGGGCTGTCCTCTGGCTGCTCCCCTGGGTTCCCACCAAGGTACAGCTCCTCCTGCTCTGAACCCTGTGGAGAGAATATTGGCTTAAACAGGAGCAAAGAAAGGAGAAGCTGAGGATGGGACAGCAGAAGAACCCTGAATACATTTCCCTCAAGGAACATGTTTTGGCATTGTGCTGATCGAGATAGCAGAACATATAATCTGCTTCATGCCACTGCCCATGTCAGCCAAAATACAGACTCTTAAACCTTTAACCTTAAACCTAAACCTTTCTTTTACTGGCCTAAAAAGAAGGCCGGTATGCATAATTTAATAAAATTACTAGTGTGCAAAGAAGAAAAGTCCTACATCCACTACTGGTAGCCAGGTCAGAGCTTCAATAACCAATGACAAGCAGAGAAGAATGTTTCTGCAGAATTTAAGAGCTCATGTATGGTCAGCAGAGTAAAGGAAAATGACTAAACCTTTACACTTCCTTAAGAGAAAGTAACCCATGGCATCTATTAGAAAATTAATATTTGCCAAGGCATTTTATGCCACAGTTATTTTCATTTGGGAATACAAGGCACTCCAGTATCTCAAATTTTCTCCTGTAAGGCTGTTTGTGAGGCCTACAGAAATGCAAGCAGGGATAATAGCAGGTATCTTTGGGGGATTTTCACAATTGACAGGGAGGAGCATTTTAATAACAGCATGCCTTTCTTGGGGCTTTGTCTTGCTATGAAGGGCATGCATTCAGGGCTGTGTAGCACTACACTGACAAGGTAGAAACTTTGCCCAGAAATAAGCCATGTGCTCTAGAAAGGCTAAGTCTGGAAATGTTATGAACAATTGCTTGGTCTGAATCCAAAGGGACATGAATTGTAACATTTGTCCATGTTTTCTTTTTAAGCTCAAAGTGAAGCAAGCTGGGGTGAGCATTCAAAAGATTGTACCTGGCCTTCAGACCATGGGCATCTGCTTGGATCAGTATTTCAGGATCGTTCACCCAGAAGTGCCCTTCACCATCTCCAGCATTCAGAAATTCATCAACAGCCAATTTGTGTTCCAGACTAGAAGAGAGATGATGCCTGAGTCATGGAAAGAGCGGCCAATGCTAGAGCTGAGAGGTACTTCAGTGTTTGAGTAGCCTAAGTGCTGATATTAAATCAGGAATCAGGCTGAGGTGCACTCCTGACCTCACTGCACTCCTATAAATAGCCTTTGGCCAGTGAGGAGATTAGATGGTTCTGTTTAGAGAAGCAGTAGATGCTTGTACACAAATTCTGCTATCACCTCACCAGATTTTGAAGGCTTTCACTCAGAAGCAACAACTCTGCTCCTATTTGAAAGGCTTAGAAACATGGTGATTTTTCTGATGCTGCAAAATCCACATGTAGATACATGGTTTGTTCTTAATTTATGCCTTTGAGGGGAGTTATTTGCTACTGGCTGGGTTTCCAATGTGATTAAAAATAGATTAGTTCCCTGTGCTTTTATTTTTTGTGGCACATTTTCAGGTTCTGTCTTCACACACCCCCCCAAAGCCACGTAAGAGAGTTTACCAGTTAAAATTATCTCAGCAAAAAAGATACTGTATTTTCTTTATTTTTACTGAGAGGACTGAATATGGGATGATCCTCTGCTTGGTGTAATTAACTATAGTGGCATTTGGTTTAATTGTTCTGTGACTTCAGTTTTTCTTTTATGAGCTATATTATATGATCTAATTTTCTCTTGTCTCCTTTCACCTTAATGTAATGAGTGTCAAATCTTGTTTTCCTGGGATTCAGAAAAAGATTGAGGGTTTAGGGACAACCTTGAAAAAAGTAATGCTACCAAAACAAGGAACTTTGACCAGCCATGAGTACAATTATACTTTCTCTTATGTTCTAGGGGTTAGTTCACATGTATTTCTGATGTTTCAATCCTCTTAGTTTTAAAGCTGTTCATCCAGTAGCCCTGGGGATGATGTGAAGGAGAAAGAAAGAAATAGGAATTTCTAGATTGCTGTTTAGAAAACAATGATACTTATGAAGTAAGATGGCAACAACAACAACAACAATAGTAATAATAATAATACCTCAACCAAAACTCAAAAAACTAGATTCCTCACCAAAAATCCCTTTTACCTTTCAGGCATTTTTGTTACTGCTTATTTAGATTATGTCAGTAACTGAAAGCTCCAATTTCCAGGGAGGAAAGTGCCACTGACTTTACCGGGACACAAACTATGCACTGTGAAATTAAACTTCAAATGTTTTGCTTAATCATCGTGAGTCTCAGTTCCCCTGTGCATGATTCTGACTGACTGGCTTTGGGAACAGCCTGAGAATTAGGAGGAGAGGAGGGGAAAATGCAGAGAGGAGCAGAAAGGAGAGGGGAGATGTTGTGAGCACTGGGGTTCCTCATGAGAAGGAGGGAATTGAATCCTGGTTGGGCTCTGCCCAGCCCCTGCAACACCTGGGGGAGTGACTGCTTCCCGGGTTCCAAAATTTTGTTTGCCCAGTGTGGCTCCTCTCAGCAAGTTCACCTCGAATTCCTAGGAAATAAATTCCTGTGACCATTCAGACCCTACAGAAACCCCCTGACCTTAGAGCTCATCCCCTAGCGCTAGCAGCAGTAATGCAGAGCCCCCTGTGAAAGGCCACCCTGCTGAAAAGCCCTGCCACGGCTGTTTCCCCCAGGGCAGATGATGTGGATGGAGCCCCTGCAGTGCATGCTGTACCTGTGCTCGCCCCTGCTGCGCACGCTGCACGAGCTGGAGGAGCGGCAGATGCACATCGCGGACATCGCGCCCCACGACGTCACCAGGGACCTCATTCTCCTCAACCAGCAGAGACTGGCAGAGATGGAGCTCTCCAGCCAGCTGGAGAGGAAGAAGGAGGAGCTGAGGATCCTGTCCAAGCACCTGGAGGAGGAGAAGAAGAAGACTGAAGCTCTGCTCTATGCCATGCTGCCCCAGCACGTGGCCAACCAGCTGAAAGAGGGGAAGAGAGTTGAGGCAGGTGAATGAACAGGGTGCATTTGGGCTGTGTGATTTGTGCAGTGGGGATGGGGATAGAGAGACTGGGGTGCTGGCACAGCCCCTTTGCCACTGCATTGGGGTCCATTCTCTACTTGATGACATCCATGTGTAGGAGGATGATCACAGACCATTAATTTCACTGATAATAAAAATTAGGCTGTTCTTTCAAAGAAAGCTTTGGAAGCTCTTTGCCAAAATTGTTTCTAAGGTGGTGAAAGGTGGTAGTGCTGCCCATTCAGTGAACAAAATTCAGTGTTTCAGGAGTAATCTGAGATTTTGGTTTTAACATGGATATACAGGAAAACGAGGGCTCAGGAGTGAAGGGAGTAAAGAAAGAGGTCTTTGCTAGAAAATTCTCTTAGTACCTTTATGCTATTTATAAATGTAGGATCATGATGATTCCCATTGTTATTAAGGGTAGCAATAACATGCCTAAATTCCCTTTAGTAAGCACATATATGAAATCAGGGATAAAGAGTTAAGTGTTTCCTGTATATGGTGCATTCAGATGTTTGGGTTGTTTGAGATGTGCAATTATCCCTGTATTGATACATTCTTACTCTGACACCTCTCCTTCATCTCAGTACCTGGGTGAGGTTATTACAACTGAGAGGCCATAGAATGATCTTTACAAGCAAGCCTCAAACAGATCCTGTGACTGTGCAGCCATGACAAACACCACTGCTCTTTGTGCCCACAGGAGAGTTCAAGGAGTGCACTATATTGTTCAGTGACGTGGTGACCTTTACCAACATTTGTGCCCAGTGTGAGCCTATTCAGATAGTTCTCATGTTAAATTCAATGTATCTGAGGTTTGACAGACTGACCACAGTGCATGATGTGTACAAGGTAGGTACTGATCAAAAAAAGCTGCAGAAAGTTTTGCTGGGCTTTTTTTGTTTGTTTGCATTTTTGTTGTTTTGTTTTTTCTTTGTTTTATTTTAAAGTACTTAAATCCCCTTCACCACAGCATGATTGTTGGATAAACCATAAAATATTACCTATTTGTAGTGGCCACACAAACTGAAAAACAGGAAGAAGTGCACATTATTGGACAGTAACACAACTTCTATCATAGGCTAAGGACTCTTTCCACAATGTTAATAGCAGAATGGCTCTCCTTTCATATATATTTCTCTCTCCCTCCTTTCTCAAATGCCTACCCAAGATGAATAATTTGCCTAGTTCTTTTATTTGTACCTCTTCTAAATAGGTCACTTTGTCATTGTCTCTTTTGGTGGGAAATAGCATTTTAGACAATACCCAGACAATGGGTAGACTTCTGTTTCATGGAGATCTTCAGCAATGGTATCCTCTCCTGCAAACCCCCACAGAACATCAATTAGACCTAGAGGGTGCATGTGGTCTCCAAACTGTGCTGGAAAGATCAGAGCCCTGGCTGGCCTACAATAATAGTGCTATCAACACTTCCAGAGGTACCAGATTATTTGATGTGCTGAAGAACAGTTCCTAAGTTTCTGTCTGTCCTCAGCTCATTAAATATTTAGGAAGGCAGAAATAGTAAAGGGTGAAATCCAAATCTCATTTATTCTTTGCTCAGGCAAGACTTGCAGTTCATCCCACAATAAATTGTACTGGGAAATCAGAAGCATTTCTTCCTTGGCAAGGAATCTGTATTCAATAATTGAAGAATCCAGGACATGGCCCATGGATTTCAGGATGAATTAGCATCATATTCTATCTAAATCATCCATCAAAAGTAAATGATCTGTCACTATAATAATGTCCTTTTGAAGCCTGTATATAACTCCTATTAATATTGAAGGCAGTTACTGGGGTACAGAGAGCAAGGATGAGATTACTATTGCAGGGAATTGGGAAAGCAATGAAATAGTGACATTGATCAAACAAACTTGGCCCAAGCTTATAAACATCAGAAGTTATGAATAAATCTTGTTAAATTAAATCTTCTGCTATGGCCGAAAAATAATTAGGGTATCTATTTGCATTAGTAACTTTTTACAGTTGTTTTTAATTTGTTACAGAAAATTACTGGCATCACTGTGGGTTTGGCTGTCTGATAGAAGGCATGGACAGGAATACATTCTTTGAGATTGAAGTGAGGGACTGTTTTAAGTCACTGTTTGTTAATGAACAAACCCAAATATTAAATTATGTTTCCACTCTCCCACTGGTGTTAATTTTTAAGGCAATTAGTTTAATCTAAAAGATCTCTTTTTTATGGATGATAAATGGGCCAGTGAAACCTCATAAGAGCAGTTTAGAAAATGTCATTACCATGTAACAGGCTTTTACAGTGGAACGTTTAAGAATTCTCTTTTTTAAACAGGTCTGCTCTATTCCTAGCAAAATTTCTGTTACAGGAACAAAATCCAAAGTATTTCTCAGGTACTTTAGCATGAATTTCAAGGAGACTGGGTGCCTGAAGGAGGACAAATCCTTCAGCATTTGTCTCAGAGACTGCAGCTGTTGTGGGAAAACAGCTGGTTGTAGGGAAGGATGCTCCCAAACTGTTTAGCTCACACTCTGTTCTGTGAGATCCTTGAGACTGGAGGTTCCTTAATTTTGTGTGAATCCCTTAATCATAATCAACAGTGAATGGGCTCCCTTGCTGTATTGTGACTTTTAAAAAATAAATCTCTCTCAAACAAGGAATACACTTTAGCACCAATTGTGAATTAGAGCTAATTAACAGCACTCATCTATCAGGTAACCTCTGGCTCAGGAGGCTGTGCCTCAGGCCAGCTCGTTGCACATCCCCAGGGAAGGAGGAAGGCAAACAGCCTGGCACTGGCACAGCAGCCCTTTCTCCTTGGGGTCTCTCACTCTGATATCTGAAGTGGCTCAAGTGAGCAGGGCCAGAATGCCATGGAATTTTTAGTGTGGAATGAAGGAGAGAATCTCCATCTCAAGGAAACTCATGTGTGCTAAAGCTTTTCAGTGATTGGAAGCATCTTTTAAGAGAAAGGGGGAGTTGGTGCAGATGAGAAGAGCCCTGAAGAGCAGAACAGAAACCTGAGTGAGATGCACCTGGTGTGCTCATGTGCTTGTCCCTCTCAATTAAAGGTGGAGACGATTGGAGACGCCTACATGGTGGTGGGGGGGGTCCCTGTGCCTGTGCCCACTCACGCAGAGAGAGTTGCTAATTTTGCCTTGGGCATGATAATGGCAGCCAAAGGAGTACAGAACCCAGTTTCTGGAAATCCTATCCAAGTAAGTCAACACAAAGGTGCATGTGTGTCTCCCTGTCTGCTTCTTGTGCTGAGCTTCTGCTTAATGTATTGCAGCAGCAGCTCCAAGAGCTGCTTCTGACTCCTCTTTGGCTTGGGGCAAGGCCCATGAGGGCACATTTCCATGAGGAGCCTGTCCCTGTGCATATTTGATATCATACTGGCACCCAGTGTCGTGTTGAGATGAACTTTTCGGTGTCTGCACAGCATTAAGAAAGATGTTAAATAACAAGTGACATTTTTGGGGGGTGTTTTATCTTTGTAAAGATTCGAGTTGGGATCCATACAGGTCCTGTCCTGGCGGGGGTTGTGGGAGAAAAGATGCCTCGTTACTGCTTGTTTGGAGACACGGTGAACATCGCCTCCCGCATGGAGAGCCACGGCGTCCCCAGCAAAATCCACCTGAGCTCCAGCGCCTACCAGTGAGTGACCCTGAGGGAAACCTCACCTGCTCAAATCCATGCTCAAATCCACTGCCCTGGCACTGCACCTTTCAGGGGAGATGGTGCTTAGTCACTCCTTTAAGCAGCTTGTAAAGGGAAGTCACTGCTTGTAAAGAACCTTATGTTTTTCCTACTTATTCCAAATATACTTACATATAGAAGCAGAGGTTTGAGAGTCTCCATGCTAGATAGCAAAATATTAAAAAAAAAAAGAAAGTGATAACTTATTTGGAAATACTGATAAATTGATGTAGGTGCTAGAAAGACAGAACATCTAGAACATTTAATAACAAAAGGTTTAAAATCTCTCTGATTGAGCACCATAATTTGTAGTGAAACAGTTTCATTTACACTTACTAAGGACTAACTTCATAAACAGATATCCTCTTCATGCTGTAATTTACTTTCCAGAAACTCATGTTTGTAAAAAATTAATACTGCATTTCCAAGAACTTTATGTAGGCATAAAATCTGTATGCCAGAGTGGAAGCAAAGACAAACTACAAAGGAAGGAGTACAACAACATTGTCTGGGCACACAGGAATGATGTTGGGAAAATGAGAGCTCAGCTGGCATTGAGATGGCAAACAAAGTTCAAAGGCAGTCAGAGGAGCTCTGCAATGTTAGAATATAAATAGAAACGTGGACCTGCTGTGGCAGGTGATTTAGTGACAGTGTCCTGAAGAAAGGCTGAGTTACTCAAGGCCTCTCTTGCTTTGGCCTTCACTGATGAGATCTTCAAGGTCCCTGCACCAAGAGTGAGGGTTCAAGAAGTAGGTGAACTATGAGTACTGGAAGAGGATCAGAGCAGGGGTCTTTTGAGAGATCTCAATCTACAGAAATGCACAGGAGCAGAAGGGATCTGAGGTAATGAGAGCTGGGTGGTGGCACTGCTGGCTGTCAGCACTGGAGCAGCTGAGGAAAGCTACAGCTGTATGGAAAAATGGCAAGGGGACATGGTGAAACTGCAGGCTGATCAGCCTCATGCCAGTCCCAGAGAAAATCAAATGGCCATTTCTGGATACATGAAAAAGGCAATTGGGAATAGCAAGTCTGGATGTAAAATAAATGAGTCAATCATGCTTGACAGACCTGATTGCCTTCTCTGATGGAATGACTGGGGATAATTCTGTCTAGCTGATATTGGCTGCCTCAGTGCTTCATTTCTATTTACTGGTAAATAAGACCCCTCCAGCCTACTGAAGTATTTGACTATATAATCCATTAGTTTTTGATCAGGCTGTATGTGTAATGCTATGAAAGCACAGCAGGCTCGAATAAACAGTTGAAACAAATCCTCAGTTGTTCACAAATTGAGACTCTTTTCCCCAGACTGTTGTGATTTGATCACTCAGCTCTTTGAAATCATCAGTGTCATTTTTACTTGTCTTGAATTTTCATGTGTCATTTTGCTTCTGATACTTTAGGTGCCTAAAATACAAGAATTTTGAGATTACTGAAAGAGGAGAAATAGAAGTAAAAGGCAAAGGGAAAATGCACACATACTTCCTGATTAGAAATAAATCTGCAACTGAGAATGAGATCATGGGAAGGCCAATGAAAGATTTAGATTCTGGCCATGAATCTGTTCAGTCCTTTCCAGAAGGCAAGACTGAAACTATACCAAGTTCTCATCAGCCAGGTAGAGTCAGCTCAACACATATTTTCCTCCTTGAACAAATGAACAATAATACAATCCAATTAAATGTCCTTTTGTATTCTTCTTTCAGCTACTCAGACTCAGCAAAAGAAGGACCAGACCCCAACTATTGCAATGAAGTATGTTGATGGCCCCACAGATGCACAAAACAGCCTCAAAAGAAGGAATCAGATGAAAGCTGGAGGTTTAACAGGTAGTTATTTAGTTACCATCTCACAAAGACCACAGAACTAGGAAGTAACTGAGGCTTAATCTTGCAAGTACTTCATATTCATCTTCTAAATAACCATAGTTTTGTCAAGCCAGAAATTCATGCTAACATTTACACATTACCCTTCTGCACAATCGTTAGGGCCAGACAACTTTCACCTCTGGAGCAATCCCAGGTGTTGGTTGGCACCAGTGAGAGAGAAGCTGACAGAGCTGCCAAACCCCAGAACCCCTCTGGGAGTGCAAATAGAATGGATAAACATTAGACAGCTCTTCACAGGGCAGACCCATGAACTGTTCATGTACACAGCTTTTCCTAGGAAAGATGTAGTTATGGGGCAGCCTTGCCAACTCAAGAGAGACCTCAGTCCTGCCTGCTGCAGGAGTCAGGAGGATTTATTGCCATGCTCATGTTCTGTGACCAAAGTTCATTCTCCTTTGAAGTAGCTGATACTGAGATAACAGATTTGATGCCATAACAACCTAATCTAATGCAGCAAGTCTTGTAGTTCTATTTATGTGCTTTGTGGATTTTAAACAGACTAAATATGTTGTCCCTAATTACTAGAAAATATTTTACTGCCTTCCCTCCCACCTGCTTAGATGTGGTGGTTAATCTAGTATGTGGTGTGCTGACAAACAGAAACCTCTCTGGTCCTTCAAAACTCACAGTGCAGGAGTGTTTCCTTTCAGGCAGAACTTGTGATTCCAAAAGCGATGGGAGTCTCCATGGCAACCAGCATGCAGACGATGGTCCTCGTCCTCCAAACCAGGGGAGAGTCAAACCTGCTGCTGAAGAGCCACAGAATAGAAATGTTCGCTCCAATTTTTGCACTTTACTCTAAGTTTCTTACTTTTACATTAAACAGAGAAATTTTATTATGATTTTGTGCATTTTGCTGTTATGGGACTGATTTTGTATATGAGTACCACATGATTTTGTAAAAAAAAAAAAAAAAGTAAAAAGATATTTCATCACAGTTTTCAGTAAAAATAAAACAGCGGAGGAAATTTTTTTAATCCATCTACATGGGACATATAATATTTCCAGTAGAGAAAGAAATCCTTGCAGGATGCTTTGAAGATGCATTTTCAGCCTGTGCCACATCTTTGAATATCCTTGTGTAAAAATCATGTGTTGGTATCTGATGCAGCAATCGAGAAAGAGGTGACTCATCCAGCTAGAAATATTCCTACTCAAATGAGCACTTGCCATAAAAGAAACATTCCCTGAAGTGACCATCTGTCTTGACTCCAGCACAGCCAACAACTTCCCCATGTAAGGTTAGCAGCATTCCTCCTATGTTTTAACTGCAATAACAGCTTAATTTCCTGACAAATCTTTGGTTGGGTCAAGTAATTATGAAGTAGAAGTGCAGAATAGATCTAAAACAACCTGTATTTTTTGCATCCTGAAGAGAGAATGATGTGTACTTGATAGCAGCCAACAGTAGAAAAGAGCACCTGTGATCTCTGAGCCAGCCATACATACTGTGCATAGAAGGACATGGAAATGGTGGAGTTACAAAGCATCAGATTTGTCACAACACTGAAGGACTGTTCAAGGCCTACAACCTATCTGAGACCTTCAAATAAATTTCAAGTTTATTTCTCATTTTTCACCCCAGCTAGACCAAAACAAAGCCCCAAAACAGCAAAGATTCTGGACTGCAGGAGGAGACTGTCAGTTCTGGAATTAATGTTGCTAGCATCATTGAAAACAACAGCATTAGAGATCAACATTACCTGGTATCAGAGGCTGCTCAACTGAAATACTTCCATGCTGACATATTCTTAGATTAGGTCTGATCAGAAACAGGAGAGAAAAATTGAAGCTCATTTGTCAGGGATTTCAAAGAGAGGAGCAAAAATACAATGGATATAAAGGTTGTAGACAATTTGGTGCATCATAAATTGTGCTCTCACTCCTATAAATGGAGCTTGGACTAAGTGGGTGACTTTGACAGAAGATGTGCCCTGCACACTGATTTATTACCTTTGGCTGTGGATTCATCGACTAAGGATGCAGGCATGAGACCAATGTGAACTCTGGGCTGGAACTCACTGGACAAGGTGATAAAGTTACTCCTCTCTGACAGTCTGGAGCATCACATTTCCACCTCTGTGTCTGCAGCAGGAGCAAGGCTCTTTAAACACCAGACAGAGAGCAAAGACTGATGAAAGGCATCTCCTCCTCTTTATAGTATAGCCAGATGAAATTTCACCTGGTTAGAGTTTTTTTTTCCAAATCTCTGAGACAGGAGCTGGGCAGCTCAGTCTGCAGCAGCAATTAGTGCAATTATTGCAGCAGAGGAGGATGCACAGAGTGAAACCATTGGTGCTGTTCTCCACTAAAGAGGTGTTCCAGGGGTTTGCCAGGTGTGGTCCCATGCAATGAGCACCTGTTAGGTTTTGGAGCACCTCACAAGCACAGGCTCTGGCTTAGCTTCCTCCAGAAGAGATCCATTGAACACTTGCTTTGCTCAAACCTGCCCTTCTTGCTCTGAACAATCTATGGGTGTTTAATGTTGGAATGTTTTAATTGCCAGTAAGTGCTCCATGGTAAGTTACTTCATGCTGTCCTGTGGTAAAAATGGTGTGCTCAGTGGTTTCTCTGTGGCATCTGCTACAATCTGGTTCTCCTTGAGGTGCAGAGCTGGGTGAAATCTGCACAGCTGCTTCTAAACATTAATGTGCCTGTGCATCATCATGTGTTCTTAAATCTGTAGGCACTTCTAAAGACTGCAAAAATATAATTCAAAAATAAATCTTTTCATTAATATACCAACTGCCATTTGTCAGTGATTCCTTTGATTCCTGTCCCTCTTTTCCCTTCCACCTTTTCTATTCTCCTTTTCCTCTAGGCCTACAAAAGTGCTCAGTCTTTGTGTCAGTCACAGATCTACAGTGAATTGACACAAAAAGGGTGGGAGAAAGAAATTCCCACCACTGCTTCATGGAAACTGAGGCTTAGAGAAATTAAAAGTTGAAACTTTTGAAAGCTTCCTAAAGCATATGAATTCCCAAATCCCATTAAATCTAGTGTTAAAACCCTAACTGTAAAAGTTTAGGTATCTTAAAGGTCCGGGGGCCAGATTTTTCAAAGACTTTTGTTACTTTCCTGAGGGAAAACAACTGGATTTAGGTGCTTAATTGAACACATATGAAGTGTTTAATTCCCACAAATGATGCTTTCCTTAAAACATTTATAAAGCACTTCCTTGTAAAGCCTTCTAAAATGGGCTGTTTAGTAAACTTTCCAAACTAGAACCTCATTAGCATTAATTCATTACTTCTGACATTACAATGCAACTCTGTATGGATCCAAGCTGAACATAAAAATGCACAAATAAAATAGCAGTGAAAAATTGAAATTATTACTTCAGTAGTGAGAATATATTAAAACCACACTTGAATATAAAAAACTATGGTGAAATTCCAAATGAAAAAGGAAACACACAATTTCATAGAAGTGGACAACATCATGGAAATTCCAGAGAATTTTTTTCCTACTAGGTCTCTGCTTCCCCCTTAGAAAACTCAAGACTTTAAGAGTAGACAATGAGATTAAAATCTTCCTTAAAGTTATCTGTACAAACATCTACTATTCATGTATTCTTCATACAATATTCAATCATCAGTGCTTCCTGTACAGAAAAAAATAGCAGTGTGCAGTATTTTGATTCCATAAATAGTTGTAATCAAAATAAACACATGGAATGTTATCTTCACTTATGTGATTAGACTAACAAGCACTGCTAATTTTTTGCAAGCTGTCTGTAGTTCTATCTCACAGTTTTGTTATACGTGCTTGCTCAGACCAATGGTTTTTGGTCTGCGCTGTGCTGAGAAGCCATTCCTAAAAAATTCTGATATTCAGAGTTCTTCCTATTTTGACTTGGTGTCCAGCCTTTAGTCTCCAGCTGGATGAGCACACCATGTGAGAAGATTTGTAGTCATATTTTCATACCAATAAGCACTTTGCCCTGTGCTCTGTTAGAAGTGAACCCCCAAAGGACATAAACTCATTGCCAAGCTTTACAGAAATTCAGGGCAACATTACCTGACTCTGTAATATCTCCTTAACTTTGCTGTATTAGTGAAGTCTGAAAGTTTTATCTACAGAGAAAACCTCCCAGGCTTTGTGATAGTTCTTATTTTGTCATTTGCATCAGACACCTTTCTGTCAAGGGAATCAGCAAACACAAATGGTGACAGTTTCTGCTTTTTGTGACAAACACACCAAACCTGGCTTCAGCACCCTGTTCTCATCAGTCCTGAGGTATCCTTGAATGCATTGCACAGGAGCACTGTGTGGAGGCACCTTTGCTTTGTGTGCTCCCATCCCAGTGTCTGGGATTCCAGCTGCTTGGTTGTGGTTCCATTTCCATGCCGAACACCAGGCCAGTGACCCAGACCACGGCTGGGTGATGCTCTGTGGGCATCCTGCCAAAACGTTTTGCAGGAGAGGAACCTGACACTCAGCTATCATTTAAGGGCAATTGATCTCAGGAATCAAAGGGCCTTTAAAAATTCACCAGCTCACATATCCTTTTCAGTGATGGTCATCAGATGTTTCGTGCTCTGATTTTGTGGGCTTTTGAGAGAACCTTGCTTTTCAGCAAATGATGACATATCTGTTGGTAAGAGGAAACTCACAGCCTTCACTTTTCCCCTGGAGAAAAAAAAAGAAATCATTATGAGGATTACAAATGTATAAAACATGCAGAGAAAGTAAAAAATAAACCAAAAAAACCCCCACAAACCTGACTGAGGAAAAAGTAAATGCTTTCAACTCTTGCAGGATTTCATGCCATTCACATGGCCATCCCAAAGGACCAGGCATGGTGCTCTCTGCTGGAAGCATCTGCCTTTTTCCATCGAGTCTCACATCTCCCTGACCTGTGTGTACACAGAACCCTGGGGGTGCATGTGCACCCACAGAGACCCTTCAGTAATTTTAGTATAATGGCTCTGAAAAGAGTTCTCAGCCTCTCTTATCCTGGATTTAAATATTTAATGGGGTTTTTTCATTCACCAAACACAGTGGGAATCCCTTGGTAGAAATAATACTTTAGCATATATGAATTAAAATATTTTAGACGTGCAAATTAGAGATGATCTGTTAGCAGTGCTGGTTTTTTATTACTTGGGTGCAATGGCACTCTATAAAAATTCAAGGTGATACTTCTAGAGAGTTAATTTTAAAGCAAAAATATTCACATCACATACAGGATTATAGCTTTGGAGCAAAATGGGAGGAAGCTACAATAAACTAAGAATAGGAAAACCCAACATGAAGCAGCATGCTGAAAAGCAAAAAATGTCATCCTTGTAAAAAATTAAGCTTAATAAGCTTGCTGAACTAATTGCTAGAAATTACCTTGCTGGTGAAAAGCTGCGATAGGTGTCTGTGTCAGACATTTGAGTATATAACAGAAGCATCCCCCATGAAGACCATAAAGCATTCTAGGTGGCTTTTTTGGGTGTAAGAAACACAAAGCTTTGTGTTTCAGGGTACCACCCAGCCTGCTGAGGGGGTGAGGTGAGAAACTCTTCCCACAGCCCCTTCTCCTCCTGCAGGCAGCAGGGAGTGCCCTGAGCCACTGCTCAGCCTGACAAGGCAGCTCCAAGGGCAGCCATCAAACCATCACTGCTGCCTCTGGTCACGGGGCTCCCAGCAGCTCCCCAGCACTCCATGGAACAGATCTGGGCTGCAGCTTTGGCTGCTTTGAAAGCTCTTTCCCCTCGTGAGCCAGCAGCAGGATTTGCCATTGCCATCCCAGGCCTGCCCGTGCTTGCCTGCACGCACACCTCCCACATGAACTGGCTCCAGGGCAAAGCCCCTCTGGAAACCCAGGGCACTGGGATATTTCTGTCTGCTCTGGGGTGCCCTGACCCCCAGGGCAGCACTGACTTTGACCCTCATTTGTGGAGAAAGTTTCCTATACTTCAAGATAGACTATAACCCACAAAAGTGTGAAATAGATTATAGAGAGCAGTGCAGGTGTATCACTTTGTAAGAAATTTAGGTTTTGGGATTTTTAGTGTGTTGTGGGTGGCAGCAAGATGGAGAGCACAGGGTGTGGTCCTGGGTTGCTTCTTCTTCCTTCTTCTTCATGGGTTTAGGTGGCATTTTGTAATTGGGCAGAAAAGTCTGCATTGCAGCTCTTTGGGATCAGTTATTGGGTTAAAAGGGAAAATAATCCAGGTGTCATTTCTTAATTGGATGGTTTAGTCTTAAAAGACCTTGGAACAAGAGACTGTTGGCCATTTTGTGCCTTCTAATGAAAAGCTGCCAAACTCACAGTACTGAGACTGTTTTACTGATGAGAAATAATAAACACCTGAGTCTGAACATGAATTACTGTCTCAAGTGCCTTCAATCCAGAGCCAGGGAAACCCACAACCCCCAAAGTGTCCATGTGCACCCAGAGCCCTGAGTGTCCCTGAGCCAGCAGGGCATGCACAGAAACCCAGAGTTACAGGGTCAGGGTGATTTGCAAAGCGATCCAGTTCCCTGCCAGGGACTAAATTTAGGTGTCCAACTGCTGTAAAATGCCTGACCCTGAAATGTCCTTACAGGAAAACCCAGGTGCCTCTGAAAGCTTGACCTTGCTGTCCCTGCAGCCTCTCAGAGAGGAGCTGGGCCCCAAATCAGCTTTGCACAGGGAGTGCAAGGGGCTGGGCACTGGTCTGCTCTGAGGATTTAGGGGGACAGAGCTAAAGCTGTTGTGCCATGCACAGGCACCTCCACACAGGTGACACAGCCACAGTGTCAGCCCCAGGGTGGCCACTGGAGCCCTGTCCCAGCACATGCAGGGGCAGGCAGGCAGAGCCTTGGGCTTCTCCCTGCTCAAACACCTGCTTTGAGGGTATTTGGATGATTGCCCTTCTGGGCACAGCATGATTTGCTGAGCCCAGGAATCAGCATGAATTCCCAAGGTACCAGCTACAGGATGTGGCTGGGCTATCATACATCACAGTCCCACTGCTGCTGGTTCTACCTGTGGTTCTTGTCCTGTGATGGAAAGCTTCTCATCAATGAGCAGGGACACTCAGGGCTGGTCCAGCAGCCATTTCACTTAATTCAGAAGCTGTCCTCTGACTACTTTTTTCGAGGCTGAAAGCATTAACTTGTAATGCTTCAGTTACAGGGGAAATATGATACAATACATCTAAATCCATGAGCCACAGCAATCACACCTCTAAAGGTATAGTGCAGAGTTCCTTGGTATTTCTGTACTTTTTGTTCAAAGTTTAAAAAGCCCTTTCAAGCTTAGCTTGTCAGAACATCACATCAATCTGCAAAACTCTGCCTGGCTTTAAGAGAGCAAAGATTTCAACCCCCTTCTCTCTGCCTCAGCCTCTCCTTTCCATGACAAATTTAACCAGCTCCCACTGCCAAACCTCATGCAGTGCAGGGGGGAGCACAACTCCCTCAAAAGAGGTCTCCAGTCTGCTCAGGGCCCATCCACACTCAAACAACTGTTTTGCTGATAGCATACTAAAACCCAGAGCAAAATCCATGTATCTAATGAGGTGAAACCCGTGGCCAGCCCAGGCAGGTGGTGCTGTGGAGGCAAACCAAACCTACTGGCACCTGCAGACACGCTCCTGAAACAGCTGCACGCTGCTGGGGTGGCTGTAGGAGACACAGCTGGCTGGGGATTGTCCAGGCCCTTCCTCCTGCTCCCTGCTGAGCTGTGCTGCAGCACCAGGGGCTGCTGGCTGGGCACTGCCTGGCACCCCCAGGAGCCCCAGGCTGGGAGGCTCCCTGCCAGCCCAGTGGCACCTGGTGCTGGAAGGAGCAGGAGCTGGGGAGGCAGTGGGGTAGCGTCTCACAGTCATGGCAGTATCTGAGGAGCAGAGAAAAAAGCAGAGATACAACCAATATTAGTACGATTAATAATAATGACAATTCAGATTTCCTCAATGTATTTTTGAAGAGTGACTTCATGTGTGCAGATAGTGCTAGAACAAGGGGGAACAGTTCTCAGCTAAAAGAGGGGACATGAGATTTCAGCAGGTGAGGCACTGGCACAGGTTGCCCAGAGAAGCTGTGGATGCCCCATCCCTGGAAGTGTTCAAGGCCAGGATGGATGGGTCTTTGAGCAACTTGGTCTGGTGGAAGGTGTCCCTGCCAATAGCAGGAGTGTTTGAACTAGATGATATTTAGGTCCCTTCCAACTCCAAATGATCTACCATTCTATTTGTAATCACTTTTTTGGGGCTCAAAACCATTTTGTATGTGGTGAAGCTGAGAGGCAGAGGATGCCAGACAGACCCTTTGCCCTAGAAAGCAGCTGGAGAGGAAGATCCACAGGGTTAGAAAGAACTTTTCACAACTTTCCCCTTGCCAAAAGGCCATGGAGCTGCTCCCAAGCTGATGACATCCCTAGCCACCAGCAGCCCCTTCAGGGTGGTAACCTGGCCACGGGGTCAGTGGGATTGGCAGCAAGCACTGCTCATCAGAGCACCCCTGTGGCTGCATGGAAATCCACCCGTGCTGCTCAGCCTCTCATCTTATTCCTTCACACAGATTTGTCTCCATGAAAACTTCTGGGGCCATTTCTCCAATACTTCTCACCAAGCCACATTTTGCTCTGATTCCTGCTTCATTAATTCCTCCAGAAGTCCCAACCAGACATCTATAACTGAGGAACATTTCCATTTTCCCCCTCTGATAAAGTTGTGAAGAGAATGTATTCCTATATATTGGCCCCTCTCTGCCTCAACAAGAACAAACTGCGTTGTCTGCAAAAATAAACTGCACATCTGGTGTGATGTATGCAGCCAACCCGTTATTTTTTGTAGCATTTTCCTCATCTTTGACTAAGGCAGGATGGGTTATGGCATGGTTATGAGTGTTGGCCCTTTTCTGCCTGGAACAGAGAGGGGACAGGCATGGAGAGGAGACTCCACGCCTGTGAAAACCTGAAGCAGAAAGTCAAATTCTGCTTAAGCAAACCAAACTCTTTGAGTTGAATCCTTTGTTTGAGCAGCAGTAAAATGCTCCACTGAGCTCAGCTGGGAGGGATGCACCCTGCAAAGCCCACAGAGCCAGGCACGCAGTGCTGTGGGTTTGCTGCGAGCACAGAATGGGGCCAGGGCTCTTCCATGGAGTCAACCAGAAGGCAGCTGGCAGCTCATCCCCCTTCCCTGCGGGCACATCCTGCCGGACAGTGCCAGCACAGCCCCCTCGCCGGTACCTGTCTGCTCCCTGGGCGCTGGGGCGGCCGCGGCGCCTCCCTGCAGGGATGCTGAGGATGCCGAGGATGCTGAGGATGCCGCCGGTCCCTCGGCCCCACGGGCGGGCTCCCATCTCCCCGCACGGCCGCTCGCATCTCCCGGTGCCGGCAGCGCTGCGTGCCCGCAGCCCCGCAGCTCTCCCTTCAGGGCCCTGTTTTCCCTCTCTAGCTTGTTGATTTGGGAGCGCATCTTGCGGATGAGCTGCAGCAGGTGCGGGTTCCCCTCCATGCTCCCCTGCCCCGCGGAGCCGCTGCCCGGCCCGGGCGGACCCTGCCCTTAAAGCCCCGGCGCAGGGCGGGTCAGATCGCGGCCCTGGGGGCTGGACCGAGCTGCCAAGGCATGGCCATCATTTATTCATGTGGGGCTCGCGTTTCGGGGCAGAGCTGGCCCCTCCCGCCGCACAAATCTCGGTCAGCCCCAGCAGAAACCCGCCCGCCCCTCGGGCTTCTCATTCCCTTTGGTCTGCCCAAAAAGCCCAGCGGTGATCTCCATGGCACAGAGAGAGAGGATTTTTTGTAAACTCAGAGGGGTCCAAGGTGTGTGCTGACCCTGCCAGCTCCTGGATGCTGCAGGGAGCCATGCTGGGTGCCTCTAAGCCATGGCACACTTGCAGGCTGCAGATTTTGGTGAGTGCATCTTCAGTGAGCCTGCCTGAGCCTGCTGCAGGCACCTGTAACTGTGTGGGCTTTGCTATAAAACACCTCGACTTTGCTGGACAGCAATTCATCTCTTCCCTAGCATGGGGTGATTTAAGCTTTTTTTCTCCATGTATCTGGAATTCCAATTCCAGAATTAGTAATTTCTCTCAGGAAAATTAAATTTCGAAATGAAAGCTGATACAGTGCAAGAACCCTGCTATTAACAGCACGTGCCAGCAGCTGTGATGGACAGCAGGAACACCAAAGCTCTCCTGGAAGGCTGCAGCAGGGCCTGGGCCCTCTGTGGGCACCCAGGGAGAGTCACTGGAGTGGAGCTTTGGCACCAGCACCCAGGAGAGTAACAAGAGACAGACCGGGCATGATTCTTGCATTAGCAAGAGAAACACAATCCCCCTGCATTTCTCTCATCATCTAGTCCCTAAAGCCATCTTTCTTCTGGCTGTAAGATGCAAAAACCTGTGGAGCAGTCTTCCCATTCCCCAAGACCTACTTAAAACACAGAGCTGAGAATGCCAGAAAGTCAGCAGGGAAGTAATTTAACACACCTTCTGCTTTGAGATCCTTCACTTCCCAATAGTGCTCAACAGTGACTCAGGAATAACAGAGGAAAAAAACCATTTCATCTGCATGCATTTCCCCACTCTGCTGCTGGAGGGTGAGGGAAGAAAGGAAAACTGTTGTGAGATACTTCAAACATGAGATGACTCAGTCTTTGTTTTTCCAGAGGTGTCAGAAGGGCTGTGGGTCTATGGGGAGGTGCTGCTGGCCAGCATCAGCCCTGCTGTCACCTCCTGGGAGCCTCTCCAGAGGGCTCTGCATGGTTCATCTGCAGGCAGAGAGGTGAAACAAATGTGAGTTCTCAGGCTGCAGATGCAGCCCACAGCACCCATGCATTTTTCTTGGGTCTGGACCCAGGCCTAAATAGCAGTGCAGGTGCCCCTGTGCTGGGATAACACGTAGGGAGCATTATGGGCCTATTTCTCCAGCAAGCAGATCAGGCACTGAGCAGTGACAGCACCCATGTGTAACTATAACATTGCTGCTGACCCTGCAGCTGGCAGGTGTGGCTGGGCAGGGAACAGTGACCAGCTCAGCAATTAGCTCACCCCAGCTGTAGCTGCAGGTGTCTCCTCTCATCCCATGCCTGCTGCTCCTCTGGAACCAGACTGCAGCAGGCACAGACCTTTTGATGTACCAGAAGCATCTGAGCAAATGACTTTTGTCTTGTAACCCTGTACAGCTGCCCCTGCTGAAAAGGCCAGATGACTCAGGAGTTTTGGACAGTGAAAACCTGGCAAAGCTGTCCCTTTGCCACTGGGCTAACCAGTGTGTTCCCTGAAAGCAGAAAGAGCTCCATGCACCCAACATTGTTTTTTGTAAATTCAGAGGGGTCCAAGATGTGTGCTTACCCTGGATGCTGCTGCCCTGTGCCATGGAGGGAGCCATGCTGGGTGCCTCTTAGCCATGGCACACTTGCAGGCTGCAGATTTTGGTGAGTGCATCTTCAGTGAGCCTGCCTGAGCCTACTGCAGACACCTGTAACTGTGTGGGGTTTGCTATAAAACACCTCAGCTTTAACAGAAGGGGCAATTTCTCACAGCTGAGATGCTTCAGCAAGTTATCCTTGGCAGGATATGGACCCAGGCAAAATTGTTTTCACCCTCAGTCATATCCAAAGCTCTTGCTAGGAGCCCCATAGCAATATCTCTGTGTGGCTGCTGGTGCATGTGCTCTGTCTCAGTGCACTGTACAAACTGCATACCGAATTTCGGCAGAAGAAAACCTGCAAACCAAACACAGAAACCTTGTGGAGCATCTTCATCCAAAGCATGGGGAGCTCAGCTCATTGTTCTGCCCCTGCCCAGCAGGGTGACATGCAGCAGCAGCTCTGTGTGTGTGTGTGTGTGCAGGGTGACATGCAGCAGCAGCTCTGTGTGTGTGTGTGTGTGTGTGCAGGGTGACATGCAGCAGCTCTGTGTGTGTGTGTGTGTATGTGCAGGGTGACATGCAGCAGCTGCTCTGTGTGTGTGCAGGGTGACATGCAGCAGCAGCAGCTCTGTGTGTGTCTGTGTGTGTGTGTGTGCAGGGTGACATGCAGCAGCAGCAGCAGCAGCAGCTCTGTGTGTGTGTGTGTGCAGGGTGACATGCAGCAGCTCTGTGTGTGTGTGTGTGTGTGCAGGGTGACATGCAGCAGCTCTGTGTGTGTGTGTGTGTGCAGGGTGACATGCCAGCAGCAGCAGCAGCTCTGTGTGTGTGCACGGCTGCTGCAGGGCTCCCTGGGGAAGGGACAGAGTGCAAACTGCCACCAGCAGGAAGCAGCACCTGCACAGCCAGCACCACTGCTGAACAGCTTTTGGAGCTGTCTCACTTGCCAAATCCCTCTTGCTCCCCTGACCTAGGTGAGATAAAGTCAAAAAGGACTCGTTGCTACTCTAGCACAATGATTTTTTTTTTAGCTTACCACAACATTTTGTCCTGGAGAATCCATCAGCAGCAGGTGTGTGGATGTTTTCTGTGACATGCTGCAGCTGGAGGAGTGTCCTGCCTCCCAGTGGCACGGGAGTCCCTGTGCAGAAAGACAGAGCCTCCCTTTCCTGGGGCTAAACCCGACCAACAGAGCACAAATACTGACATTGCAGCTCCGGCAGCAGTGCCTCAGGCTTTCACCTGGGCAATCAGCTAATTACTCACTGACCAGATTCATTACAGGGCTGTTTGGAGCAACCCCAGTTTTAGCTATGGGGGTACCTCCCCTCCTCTGAGCTGGCACCACTCTGTAGCCAAACAGAGGAACCTGGGGGCCCATTTTGGTACATTATACAAATGCTGAAAAATACCCATTCTTATTCTGAAAAGTGTGGCTTTTGGGTCTTGCCTATTGCACAGCTGAAACCTGCTATTCCTAAGCCCCTTCCGAAGGACAAGGGGGAGAGCAAATAAATGCACTTGCTTATTTTAAACATAAAATAACAATACTTATATAACCTTTACCTTTTCAACAGGCCCATAGAAAGCGGCATGGAGATCTGCAGAACCCATGCACAGGTCACCTATGTACATTTTCTGAGCAGAACCCATGCACAGGTCACCTATGTACATTTTCTGAGCAGAACCCATGCACAGCTCACCTATGCACATTTTCTGAGCAGAACCCATGCACAGCTCACCTATGTACATTTTCAGAGTGCTCCCAGCAGAGTGACAGCAACCCAGGGGCTCGGCAGGACCAGCCCAGGAGGGAACTACGAGGCTGCAGGATGCTCTGTCCTGGCATGGAAGTGGCAGTGCTCCACTGAGTGGGATGGGGACACAGGGCATGGGCCAGGGGCTGCCTTTGGGCACAGACAGGAGCAGCAGCACTCAGGGGAAAGAGGCAGAGCCCATGGAATCCCCCAGCCTCTCACGTGTAGCCGGAGTGAGCGGGCAAACCTGGCCTCGCCTCCCTCTCATGATTAATTAAACTAATTAAACACTCCCTCTCAGCCACAGCTGAGTGGGGACTTGCTCATAGCCTGCACAGCAAGGCAGTTGTGGGGAATGAGCTCCACAACCTCCTAGAAACAAGATGGCAAAAATCAATTATATGTGTAAAGCATTCTCAGGTTTCGACATCTCATTAGGTAATGATGGCACAAAGATATCTGATGAGCCTGTTAAATGGTAATTGTTTAACTTATTAATGTCTGCTAAGCATCCTTTTCCTTTTGCAAGGACCATTTGCCTGACTGTGCCTTAACTCCCACATGTATACAGAAAATCCCACATGTCCCAGATTAAATGAAGCTTTGATTTTGAGCATTCAAGGTTCCTGAAAGGGGTCTGAATTCCAGCAGGGGATGCTCAACACTTTTGAAAAACCAAGCTTAACCTGAAAACGTGAAATAGAAACACCAAGATACATGAGTCACATCTGAAAACCTTGGTTTTGGACTGGGCTGGCATGAAGTTTGGCTACAGAAACATTTCAAACTTTTAAGAGGACACTTTAGGTGTCTGTGTTGAATTTCCAAGGCTCTGTCCCTTTAAATGGATCCTCAAGTTAGTGTGGAATAATCAGAATTAGTCTCTTTTATGCCAGCCCCCTGCAAGCACAACATATGTTGCAGAGTACAAATCCATGCCTCATGCAAGACAATCTTTATGCTCAGCTGGAGATTTTCATAATGAGGAGCTCACAACTGGGCCCAAATTTACCTGCACAGAGCAATAGCTTTCAAATTAAAACAAGCCCTCACTCATGGGAGAGAGCATAATGGTTATAGAGCACAAAATACATCCTAAAATTATTATGATTAATAATAATAATTTAAAAAAATAATAATAATTTATTACTCTTTCTTTTCTCAAGCAAAACACCCCATATAAAACATGAATATATTTGAAACCCTGCAGCTATAAGGTATCCCACCACAGGCAATCTGTGCAATGACATCTAAATCAGAACTACAGGCAACATCACATGGTATTTGCAGGTCACAAAAACCCATCACAGTGTAAGGAACACCCTCACAGCTGTCTCTAACAAAAAGTGAGTGACTACAGCTCACTGAAGCAGCACGTGGGGAGCAT